TGCCTGGGGGTGTAATAGTACATGGTTCATATTTACTTTTTCAAGATTCGTTCAAATCTGACCAGTTCGAAGTATAAAATAAATTACAACCATAACAAACTCTTAATCAACTTCAAAGAATCCATTAAAACCAGAACTGCAATGTCAGCTTAAACACAGCAAAGTCACAGGACCTCGCACTTTCTTCGCTATCACAGAGAAACTTTATTGGAATTGCCGGTGGACAAAGTGAGTGGGGGCTCGTTGCTTGTGTTCAGAGTGAGCACCACATGGCGACCAGTCGACTGAGCCGTAGAGTGTGAGCGCAGAACTTGCAAGTTCTGGCATTTCCATTTCACCATGTTTTGAGTTAAAATGTCGTGCAAAATAAAAACCACACAGCATCTGCCAGCTGTCAAGACAGAACCTCGACTTCAGGCAAATATCATCCAGGAGTTCGAGCACGGCAACATAAAAGGACTTCTGCAGCCAAACTCTTGAACCAAATGTTGCACTTACAGCTACCGTTACAATCCTAATGGTTGTAATTCACAAGTTTGACATGTTGGAGATACTTTGCTAACTACTGTATCTATGTCTCACCTCCACTGGCGTACTCCATTACCAGGTAGAGCGTCCTCTCGGTCTCAATAACTTCAAAAAGCTTGACTGCAGGAGGGAGAGAAAGAGAGAGAGAGGAATTATAAATTCAATTATGTCAAAAGACGAGAGATCCAGACAGAGGCAGTAATGAATTCATGCTCATGAACACGGAAAAATTGTTTCCAAACACACACCCCGAGTGAGTCGAAGAAAAAGTGAAGTCACGTGGAACTGTGTGTGTCGTGACCATGTAAGCACATCATAGTTGAGCTGAGCAGCACTCGGTATTTACTGTACAGTCCAAATTCTTTTTTCTTTCTTTTTCCCCTCCCTTCCTTCTTTTACTGCAGTAGCTCACCGATATAAAGGACTGTGTGATGAGCAGCTGAGAGCTGCACTGCTAAATATAGACAAGGTGGGATGAAAAACAAAGGGAATGTGGGAGGGGAGAGAGAGTTTATGGGCTGGTGATAGCATTTACTATCACTCTGATAATTACTATTATACTTTTGTAGAGGAACTCAAGCAGAGAGGATATGGGGGAAAACAACAAAAAAAAACAAACAAACAGGAAATTCACATTTCAAGAACAAAATGCACCGTGGCAGACTTCTCTAATCTGTTTCATGACAAATAAATTTGTCAGATTTTACTAGTATATACTTATATGGTCATAGTACATATAAGTGCACTTTCATGCCTAGAAACATTACCAGAGTTGAGGGGAATACAAAAAAAGGAGAGGAAGGAAAAAAAAGAAATTTCCCCCCATTAAAAATCATCTGCTACACTGGCAACATCTGTATTTCCTCTAAAACGTACATATAAATAAAGTCATCCTCAAT